AAAGAGAAGGGGAATAAGGATAAGGTAATCCTGAGATATCTTCTCTATTCCTTTCTTTCATGTCGCTGTGGTGCTTTACCTAGCGTTGCAGTAGCACTGCTGAAGGCGGAGCATGGAACATGCTTCAGCTTAAGATCTCACAGGGCACGGTGAGCAGCACTTAAAGGGAAGTTCCTGACAGGGAAGATGCTGTAGTTCCTGCTAGCATCAGCTCACCAGCAAAACGCTAGCTGTGCATCATGGTTTGCGTTGAGCACTCTCAGATCTATCCACTTCCCAGCCAACAGTGACTACCTTTTCCTCAAGTTTTGCCAGTTACCTGCAGGTCAGTCTTCCCATGTTAGATGTAAACCAGTATCTGTCGTGTCATAGCTTCAGAACAGCTCTAGGTGATTATTTTATTGCAACCTCCTAAAGTGCAGATACTTTTCAGTACAGCTGTAGCAATAAAAATAAATTAAACATTTTTGTACAACACAAGACACTCTACTGTTATACAAGTTCCATTTGAATACGCTTTCTGCATGGGCATGGAGCCATCATTGAAGTATGACAGCTGTATGGACACGACTGACTTCTTAGTAGAGGGAAACATATAATTATGTCAGTAAGAAACTAATTAACAATAAACTCTCTTACCAATGCAGCTCAATCTGTGCCCCAGCATGTGTTAATTGTATATTAACACTGATCTGCTTTGCAATTTTGATGTTTTCTACAAGCTCCTGCTTCACAAATCCTGCTATAGGGCCTCTTGCATATCAATACAGAGAAAAAGCTGGCCTATGGAAAACACCACCAGCCAGTGCAGTCATTTCATAGCCTGAGCTGTGCACCGTGATACACAAGTCTCTAGCAAGCATCAGTCTTTGCTCATGTTAATTAATTCAAAAAAGAAGAGTCCCACGCTGCATAGCTTGAAGGCAATTGCTTGCATCTGTTCAGCTGCTCTGTGTTGGAATGGGCTATGAAAAAGCAATGGCATGGAAAGGGTGTCATGCGGTTTTGGAAGAGTCCTCTCCAGAAGACAGGGCAGGGAGCACTGAACAAGCTCAAAGAAAGGAAAACAGTGCTGTTTTGCTGGGTCATTCTCCTCGTCTTAGGCTTTAGTGGTGCAACTCAGTTTTATCCAGGATGACAACAATTATGTGATACATTTCTTTAGCCTGTCAAAACACAAATCAGTATCAGTCATTCTCTGACCCAGAAATGGCTGCTTCTCATAAATGGCTGCTTCCCTTAAATCACTTTCCATAATTAAATATCAGGTACATGCTTGGACAAAGCTGCACTTTGGGGCCTGGGAAATGCAGTGCCCCCATCTACCTCTGGGACAGAAGAGAGCAGTAGTACTGTCTCTTAGCAGAGGCTCAGCTTGGTGGTGGAGGGCAATTTCTGAATTGCTAGGAGGAAGCTGTAGGTCCAGGCTGATCTCACCTGTGACAGTTCAAGCCACATAGTCTTGGGGCTGGCAGCTGAGCCATAATTCAGTTCTATGCCAGGAAGTCCACCATCGGAGATAGGCCGCAGGGTTCGTATCTTCTGCACCTCTTTCAATGGAATGATGCAGGAGACTGCCTGTGTAAGGAGAAAATCCACAAAACACTCTCTGATGCAATCCTTACAAATAAAACCATGTGATTCTCACCAAGGATGATTCACCTCAAGCGCCTGTTGAAAGCTGAGACAAGGACTGGGGCACAGGGCAACGCGTACAGAATACAGGGTAGGCTCCTGCTGATAACATGTCCCTAGAACTCCTGCAAGATTGGGACAAACAGGAACGTGACCTACACTGAGTTTCACTATGGACCATGCTTGCTAGCATGATCACTGGACTTACAAAAGAGCACGTGGCGGTACTACCTGTTCTACCACTCTTGTCACTTGCTTTGGGCTAGGACTGTTGTTAGAGTGGCTGTGATGCAGGTAAAAAGAGTGTCTTCCTGCACAAGTGTTTCTAAAAGTCAAGGTTAACATCAGGGCTCTGGACTATAGGGAGGAATTTTCTGGCATACCTGGGTGGTGCCATCCACCACAATGATCTCCTCTTTATTCACGCCAAAGAAACAGGGCACAGGGATTGTTTCATCGCTGACTCTCTCTACAAAGTAGGTGTTGTAGCCAAAGAAAGGCAATTTCATCACATGTTCTGTAAGAAAGCAAAAGGTGGCTTTCAGGCAAGCAGCTTCCAGCAAGCAATCTACTGCAGCAGCCTAAGGTAGTCAAAAGCGGTAAGTGTTCCCAGGCTTTTCTACATCAAAAAGTAAGATTGACAACTTCTCCCTCTCTGCCAGGCTGCTGATACTCAATTCCCAGCAGCCTAAATGGATGTCCTGTTCTTTTCTGACCAGAAAACAGATGTGCAGGCACAATATCAATTAAAACACAACTTGTACGGAGCTCTGAAAATCTACCACAGACTTCTATGAAAGAGGTGGAACTTCTACCATGATCACCGTGCTTGAGAGTAAGTGCCAATCTGCAGTAGGAGGCTGTCAGGGAGTTCTATGTCATGGCCCATTCCAGTCTCCAAGGATCCTCGCCAACCTCATGAACTGTCCCAAAAGTGCATTCAGAGCAGCTTCCATCACGCTCAGGATAGATGACTCAAGCAGATCTGGATGTCTCCTCACCTATGAACTGGATTTTTGCATCCACTGGCTGGAGGGGCTGCCTGGTTCTCAGCACCATGCCAATGTGGTTCTGCAGAGCCTGGGGACTGATGGAGGATTGCAGGATCTTTGGCGTGTACTCCTTCAGCTCTTCCCTGTGCCAACAAGCAGATACTAATTCACCCCCTGCCCAGCTAAAACAGAAAGATCAGCCAAGGGGGATTAAGAGGAAGGAGGGGGTGTGGCAACAATTCTCAACTGCATGGCTGGGGGAAGGGTGGAGGGAGACGGGAGGAGGACAACAGGTCGTATCTGAATTGGGTAACGTGGAAGGAAGCATCAGACACAGTGAGACCACCATTTTCCACAGAGAAGGCAGCTGTGCACCACTGAGTAGTGCACTGAGACAAATCCCTCCTTTCTGGAGACCACAGGAGGTCTTCAAGCAAGGCCTGTAACATGGAAGGAAAGCCACAGGGTCTTTCTTTCACAGGCAGTCTCAGCTGAACACTGCCTTACTCTAACACTGTCTTGTTCTGTGCATCCAAAGCACTACACAGAGCAGAGTTCCCCATGACCAGCAGGGTTATGCCATTACCTCCTGCTGCTGGTGCTGTAAGGGGATCTGATGGAGACATTACCTCGACTCCAAGTCAAAGTGCAAAAGGATACAGGAAGGAAGGGGTGTGAAAACATAGCTCAGGGCTGCAGGACAGAAGCTTTCCTGTACCTAGGGACATTTTCATTCCCATTCAGCATCTCACTACAGATTTCAGGTAGCCAGGGTTGAAAACTCTGGCACTTGTGAGAACAAAGGAGCATTCATCCCAACTATAAGCTCATGCACTTCCTCCTTGGTATTCCAAACACATGGCAGTCAAAAGAAATGTCCATGAACCTCAGCTGGAGAGGAGTTCACAAAAGGAAACGTGGATCAGAGATGGTGAGCATTAAGAGTGTGAATAGGAGAGAAACTTTCTTGATTATGGGCAGGAGTCAGTCACTAAGAGGCATTAATTAGAAGCTTATGTTCTGCAGAACTGTCCATTCCTTAATTATACAGAGAGTACTTTCAGGCACCTACCCCTAACCCCTGTGGTGCCAACAGCCACTAGAGACAGAGACCCACCCTGAGACAGACATACCTGGAGGGAGCAGAGTTCTGCTGCTCTGTTTTGGCCCAGTGCTGGAGCATTGCCAGAATGCCCACCTGCATCTCCGATTCTTTACTATGGCTCAACAGTATCCGCCCATTCAGGTAATCCCACAGCATCTGAGAGACAGCACAGCAAAGAGGTCTTTGTTAAGCCTGACAGAAGGTACAGGCAGGTCTGAGCAGTGCCAGGCTGCAGAGACCCACAGCCTGCTTTGCTGGTAACACAGCCAGCTCAGGCTGATAACATGAAAGCAAAGGCTTTCTGGGCTCAGGAAAAGCCTGCAGAACTGCACAAACCATGTCTGGAACAGAACAGCTTATAGGCTAGGGCTACAGGCACACTGTCTTCCTTGCATCCATAGCTTCAATTATTAGTCATTCCCAGAAACAGCATACAAATCCGATCAGCCGAAGTCCTCCTGCTTCTTTAGCCTCCTTGGGACATTCCCATTGGCCTGTACACTGACTGTGCCCCTGCTAGGGAGCCCTTGCTAGGGAGGTTCCTGGTGCACACACTGGCCTTGTTGCTTACCTGTCCATAATGGACATCAATATAAATTTTGTTCTCAAAGTGCAGAGGTGTCCTCCAGATGAGCCTGCGCAAAGTCACAGTAACCAACTTGTCCTCCAGCAGGTAATCATGAAGATACTCCTCTGATCTTATCGGCCTCACCGTTTTATCTACATGTTTATGCAGAGAGAAGGTCATCACTCTTGGTGCTGAGACAGTGGGCTGAGCTCCATGGCCTGGGACAGGAGCCTTCCTGCACATTTCTCTTCTACCCTGCCCTTACGACTCCAAGCATCAGCCGTTCTAAAGGGATACAGACCCACACAGACACACACACTCTCTCAGGAACAAGCAACGCAGCCCCTGAGAAGGTGCAATCCTTAACCCCAGTACAGAGGGAAACTGCTGAAGAGGAACCTCCCCAGAGCCAGCAAGGGCAGGGGAACTATTCAAAACAGTAGCCATAGTAATCCCTGTTGGAGACACTGCTTTAAGGAAAAAGCTAGATGCTAGTCTCTACTTGCCGAGATTATTGCTGTCACTCCTGACGGCAAAAAGAACAAATTCCTGTATCTCTTCCTGTTCGCTTGCCCCCATCTGGTCACAAATCTCCTGCAAGAGCTCCTTGGCCACCTGAAGCAAGGAAAGAAGCAAATAAATACCATGGCCAGGCAAGGCCAAAGCAGCTCCAGAGCAGTTTACACATACTGGGCCTGTTGGAGGGCAGCAATATGGCTCTGGCCATTGCACAAAGAAGCATGCTGGCTGAGGCATCCCAGCGTTGTGCAGGCCTTGCAGAGATAACGCTGCTACAGGTATTCCTAGGAAATGAGTGGGAATTTGTCACAGCACTATGGGAAGCACAGGCCAAGCCCAAGGTTTTGACAGACAATGGAGCTCCATGGTGCGGCTCAGAGTCCAGAGCAATGAAGGAAGAAACTCAAAGCAGAAAACTCACAGTGAATGTCTTTATTCTGGTGAGGTATTCCATGCCTCCAGGCATCAGTATCTCTAGCCGGCGGGCACCATGCCCCTTCTGCAAAGGACAGCATAGATATGCAGGATCCCATCAGCTCCACAATTGTTTCTCCCTCTTCTTCCTCATATCTGCCTTCCACTGCTTGCCCACAGCACTTGCCCCTTCCCTGCCCATATCCCTGCCTACTCCATGGCATTGCACTTCCCAGTCCCCTTACATACATATGCTTTGTTTCCTCTCTTGGAATACTAACTGCCCCGTAACACCGCATGTGGCACCTCCTGGCAAGCCCCTGGCCTCCCTCTCTTCCCAGCATCCCCACTTCTCTGCCCCTCAATACCAGCAATGCCTCTAACTCCACAGGGAAAGGAAGGTGGCGACGACCCCCGTACATGAAATTTTTCCTCAGGTTGCTCTCACAGGTCTTGGCTATATCTGCAGGAAAAGGAAAAAGCTTAATGTGCTGAGCCAAACAGAAGACTAAGCATTGTCTCCTATGGGGTTGGGTCATCCTGGGTGTGTTGAATTTAACCCATGGCCGCTGCTAGGAGAGCAAAGAGACTTGACCTCATCTCCCACTCTGCCAGGACACATCCAAATCATGAGGGGCCAGCCCCAGACAGCATCCAAGGCAGCAGGATTACAGAGGAATGACAGGACGGGAGATCTAGAACCCTCTTCTCTGGCAGGATTCCAATCCAGATACCTCACAGCTGAGGACTCTGGAAGACCATAGCCTGTCTTTCCCCCAAGGTCTAGCTGTCAACCTGGGCCTAAGCCACAGGGCTAAGCTAGGCCTTAGAGACACAATTCCACCTTGCCTGGGTGAAGACGTAAGAGGAAATGACCTCTGCAAACAGAAAGACTACTAATACCAAGCAGACTCTTGCCTGCAGGCTCAGTTCCCTCAGAACCCCGCTCATTTCTCCTGCCTAACAGGATAAGGGAGATTTTCCCGTTGGACCATGTCCCCACCTGGATCTTGTCTTCTTAGTAACAAGGGGGCAGATGTTTATTTTACAGGACACAGAAACAGTCATACCATGGTGGGTGCTAGATGGATCACTGCTGGCTAGCTGCAGAAACTTGGTGGCATAGGGCAGCAGGATGTTAGAAGGGAGGAAGTACCCAGTTAGCAAGTTTAGGAGCAACCAACCACGCAGCACACTCTCCCTGTGGAACAGAAAGAACTGTGGACACTCTGGAACAAAACAATTTCTGATCCAAGCAGCTCAAAGTGAGCCTCTATCCTTCTGAACACCTATGGCAGGTGGCAGAAACTGAGGTGGCAGCCCTTGGTCAGAGGTTTCTTATGCTGAGGAAGGGATTGATTCAGTTATTCTAACAGCAAACAAAGAAAGGGAAAGCTAGTTCCCCTCCAACTGTGCACACACAGGAGCTGACAGTGATGGTACTCACTGGTTAGGGTTGTGGGTGACCTGTTTGATGACCTGGCAGTAGACCTCATCATGTAAACTCTCTTTCTCCTTGCACAGCTGCATTTTGAGAGGAGAAGACAGCATCAGAGATGGGATGAGAGTGCACCAGAGAGGCCCTAGGTCACCTCTGAGCCCTTCCTCTCCCAGCTCCAGAGCTCTGCCAATTTGACTTAAAGCTTGGGCTTTGCAGCCTCTGGTCTACAGTGCTACCTAGGCCCAAAGAAGGAGAGGCAGGTTCTGTTCTCATCCAGACAGTTCTACACAGGGAAACCATTTACATGCAATTCCTCCCCAACATGTTTTTTAGTCAGCCTCTCTGTTTCAGCTCCCTTTCTCATGTAGGAGGTTGCATTATGGCTCTCCCTGCTTTCTGCCTTCCCAGCGAGGTCTTAGCCCTTCATTCCCATTGGTGCTTCAGCGCCTTGCCCAGGGGTTGGTCACAAACCTGAAGGATTTCATAGATGCATTCAACCTCATTCTGGTTCTTGAGTTTTGATTGATCTCCCATGAACCGCATCAGAGCTGCAAAGCGAAGGCTAGCGTTTAGGTCTAAGCAGATGTAATCCTGCCATGGGGCAGACAGTAGACTAGAAAATGTCCTGAAAGCATTTCTGCTCCACAGGCTATTACAAGGCTTGCATTGGACATGTGTAGTTGGTGGCGCATCAGCCCAGGCAGTGTGTGTTCTTGGACACTTCACACTTGAGGCAAAGTGCATTTTGCTGGATGCTTTCAGCATGGACCCAGGTGGTTATTAACTGCAGAAATGCTTTAGGAGGGGCCCTCCTCTCTCAGTTTTCATTCCCTGCTCTGGGCCCCATGATGCCTATGTGTGGCCACTAAGGCCACCCCACTCACCCCTGCTCCAGACTCTGCGGTGGTGTGTCCTAGGGAAGTACTTACTCTTGAAGTTCTTTGTAGCAAGCTCATTCAGCTCACTGTCACAGTACTGGAGCAAAGACTCCTGGATTGGGACCTACAAGACCGGAATACAAGGGTAGGCTGGGGAGTCAGATCACACAGAGCTGTGTTGCAGGCTTCACGAAACGCACAAGCTCCCAGTATCTTGCAGGCAGCACTGAAGAGTAGGGGACACCTACACTTCTCCAGAGACTGCAGCCAAGGATCTGCCCTCTGTGCTTTTGCCATGTGAGGATAAAGCTAGAGGCAATGCTGGAGCTGAGATTCTGGCTGTAGCCATGGGGAGAAACTGGGCTCACCTTGGTGTGCCGGACCAGGTCAGCTGCACTCTTCTTTTCAGCAGACGTCCTCTTCAGTCCCTGCCTAGACAGAGGAGAGGGAACATATAATCCAAGAAATATCTCCAGAAATGGCTTGCTGTGGGTCAGGCTACACAGGTCTTGTGTATGCCTGTTCAGGAAGGACCACAGCCTACTCACATGGACTGAGCCTCTCGGAAGTAGGCTGTGGCGAAGTCAAGCATGGTATAATGATCACCAGCAGGAACTAACATGATGCTGTTGGGTTCTGATGTCAGGCTGGGAACAGAACTCTGCAGGGACAGGCACCAAACCCACCCTAAAAAGTCAGCTGAGGAACTGCAGTGTGTATTCTCCTCACTTGCCAGACCTGGGAAGGCCTCATCTGTGTATGGTGCCACCCCCTCCCACTATGTCAATATTTGAGTGCCTGCATCTGCAAGAATTAAGCAGTTATCTTCTTCCCTCTAGGCTTGAAGGTCAGATGCTACCAAGGCCACAGGCCCACCCTGGCAGCTCCCACAGAACCCAGCCATGTCCCCTAAAAGTTCCTCAAGGACAACGCACCTCCCTGCTGGTGTTCCTGCTCTCTGGGGAATATTTCATGCTCTTTTGTCTGTCCATGCTGGTGCTGAGGTAATCAGGGGCTGCAGCCAATTGCACCAGGCTGGTGGGGAAAATACCACAGCGGCCACCAGTGGAGCCGAACTGCCAGCCTGCAGAAACAGGGAAAAAAAGAGTCAGGAACCACGGCAGCTACCAAGTCAAAGGAGAACATCAGACTGAGCAGGACTTCCTGTCTTCTGAGATAACATACCCTATAACTATGGCAGCTGGAACAAGGTGGGTTGCAGTCAGAGAATGGCAGAGCTGAAGGCTGACTATGCCAGCCCTTAACAGTCTGCTTTCCTCTGGTTTACTCGACAGCAGCATGTAGAGCTTCTGTGCACCGAGGGTCCAGCGGACCCTTGAACTCAGTCCCCACCTTTCCTGCTAGTCTCAACTAACTCCCTCACCTGGCTCCACGCCTTGCATGGGCAGTAATTCAATGAGGTCACCCTTCTTGAAGCTAAGAAGGCTCTTGTCATCCGTGATGTAGCTGCGCAGAGCAACGACGTAGTTGGTATCCTGGGGAAAAAGCAATGGGGACTTCAAATCTCCTCCCCAGGATGTGAAGGACTCAGACCATGTCATCCCATGGACCCTCTCAGGCCCATGTGGGAAATCACCTTCATTCCCTACTGCACTACAGCCGCTCCCTTACCTGCCTCAGCTCCTGGATGAAGAGTTCCACCATGGCCTTGATGCACGGAGCCTTTGGAGAGTGCAGGAAGAGCTGCTCTGTCTTCAGAGAGAACTCCAGGGCATTGCTGCCCTTCAGTTCCACTGACAGCACATCTGCAAAGCTGAGAACACAACCAGCAGGCTCAGGCTGCTTCTGCCAGAGCTAGGGATGCAGATCATGAGGATGCGAGCTCATTCCAAGGACTGAGAATGGAGGCAGGCCTCGGCATGCTCCAGAGGGTGGCCTTTCACCAGCACTGTATTACAACAGTAACAGCACTGCAGGTTGCCCATGGCTTTCACCATACCACTCTGAGGACCTCCCTTGTGATGACATGCATGGAGCTGACTCACACCTAGCACTCACTCATTGTAGGCAAAGCACAAGGTAGGGAGGGAAGGGAAAGGCCAAACTCATTAGAAGGAGGGTCAGTGAGTCACAACTGGCCTAGGACAGTCCTAGAGAGCACAGCACAGCCAGGGAATTTTCAGCTCACCCGTTCAGTTTGCCTCCTAACGCTCTGAAAGTATCCTGCAAGTGACAAATTGCCATCCTGCAGCAACCAGTGCCCTTTTGCTCACCTATAGCTGCAAAGAATCTTCAGGTGCTCAGAATTACAGCCAGCTGCTTTCACCACCTTCAGCAGCCGCATGCCCCGGTGAGAAACACCCAGGATCTGGACATCACTTCCATTTTCACCCTGTAAGGGAAGTGCAGCAGAGAGCATCAAAGGCTCCATCCCACCTGGACAGGATGCAGCAGGGGAAGAAGATGCTACCACATGTGCCACAAAGGAGGCCCTGGGCTGACAGAGCTGTCAAACCCAGCAAAGTACAGAAGGTGCTGAAGAACGAGTGATGTGTGTCCAGGTAGGGAGACAGAAAGAGATCCGAGATGAACTACAGCCACACAGCTAAAGCAAGCCCAGGATCTGGTGAGAAGATTAAGACTCACATGAACTGGGAAAAGACGAGAGAAATAGTTAGCCCAGTTATCCCGAGCAGCAAGTACAATCCTCTTCTTTATCCCGTCCTCCTGAATGGACTGGACATCATTGCCAACCCGGAACTCCACTAGCAGGGTTACAAAGCAGATACTTTATTGGTAAGACAAAGATGGCCCAGTGCCCCTCTGCCCAGGGACTCATTCCCACCGGTCCCTCTTGGTGATTACAGCACAGCAAACGACATGCAGAGGCAAAAGGATACCACATTATTTGCACACACAAGTCTACTACTAGTTTCTCTCCCCCTCTCCATGAAGTTCCTGTCAAAGATGACAGCTGAATTTTGAGATAACTCAAAATCTCATCCTTGGGCCTCAGTTTCTACACCCCACAATAAACATATGAGAACTAAGTTCTTCTGGCTCAGAGAAAGTTCAGGGCCATTTTCTGGCCATTTGGAATAAACAAACATTCCTACACTGCACTATACAGCACACACAAATGTGCTTCTTGCTGCAGTGACAAACATTTCTCCCTTGCCCTAAGTCCTGCCTGAAAGGGCTTGGAGGCTGGTTTCTCATTTCAAACCAAAAGCTAGGATGGGTACAGGGTGAAAGGGATGATGGGATTGTTAATTACTCAGCAGGTCTTTCATCTTGCGCTTTTCCTCCCTGGAGATCCGAAAGCAGGAATCTGAGAAGGTGTCACGCATGATCTGCAGAGGGAGGAAACAGAGAGACTTCCACTGAAAAGGCGACATCTGATTGTGTTGGAGCATCTGAGGCTGTTCAACAGGCAGAGTTTCAGAAATGAGTGAACCGGCATTTGACTGGGTGGACCTGGAGAAGAGACTAACACCGCTAGGGATGCAGAAGTGAAGGCAACTTATGCAATGTAATTATAGAGTGTTTTGTCCCCAGAGAGACAACAGGCCTTGAGTCATACACCAGTACGTACCTGTTCACACAGCAAGTTCAGACAATAAGGGTGACTGAAATTTTCTTTAGGGTAAAACACCTGCAAGAGAAGGATAAAAACAATAGTGATGTTACAGATGTTTACAGATGTTGCAGAAATAGCTCCCCAGGGATGTTTTGTAATCCATATGCCCTACTGCCAGAGAGGAGTGAGTTCACCCTCCAAGGACAGGCAGGGAAGAGACACTGTGAATGCGAACAGAAGGACAAGGAGTGAAGGACCAAAAGTGAAGTGGTGAGACCACGGAAAATACCCTGATCAGGTCAGCGCACTCTCCAATACTTGATTTTAAACACATTTGTACTATTTTAACAGGAAAGCACGAGGTAACAACAAATTCACTTTAGTTGTAGATTTTCCAGTGCAGAGGAAGGAAAGGACAAGTAGGGAAACTGAGACACAAAAGTCAGTAAGGCAGAGTAGGACTCAGATCCCCTACGAGATGATCCCCTGCCTCTGACTCCTGTGTCATGTGACCTCCTCCCAGAACTATCTTTGTGCTCTTATATCACACTGGGTGCCTATGACAAAAAATTATTTTAACCAAATGTGGGACCAGTTCCCTCCCCCCATTGCCAGCCCTCAGCAAATAAACTGTACCTCTTTGCGCAGAAAGATTTTCCAGGCAGGGTTGACATAAGAAAAGCTGACACTGGTAGTGAGTTTGTACAGCTGGGTCTTGATACCATCATCATCTGCTAGTGTTACAGCAGAGGCTGGGTGAGCAGAAAGAGCAGTGAAGATGGGCTTTGCTGACTGCAGGGTCACCTTCCTACCTGCCAAAGAGCTACCAAGTGAAAGGGGACAGTGCCATATGCCTGACTGAAGATTACTGTCAGGAACCCTCTTGAAGGTCAGTGATCAGCTAATGTGAATGCTTGCACAAAATAGTCATCATGTGAGTCATCAGCATTTCTGATAGCGTTTATACTTGCTGTATTAGCCACAAAGTTCAGTGCTCATAATAGAAATACTTCAGAGATGGAGAGCACACAGCCTCCCAGGCAAAATACTACCGCTGTACTTAAGGTTGATGACACAAGTTTCACTTTATGTCTTTAAAAAAAGGCTGCTAAAGGTTTCAAAAGGACATAAAAGTTCTCCCCTGAGCTTGCAGACTGCAAGGTTCTGGTACAAGGCACGTGGTACTTGGACTGGATTTTCTCTCTGCAGGAGTTCTATTAAAGACAGGCTCAGTTTGAAGGCAACCATCCAAAGGCATTGCTTTATGAGGTAGGAATGTCTTCATTTAAGCACTCCCAACTTTCAAAACTGCAGAGTTCATAGATAAAAAAATGTAGCAGATCCCACAGTTCATCTGTTTCTATATCCCTATTCAAAAGCATGTAGAGATTTTTGAGGCTAATCCAGTTCCTTCGATTTACTTTCACAGGACTTCCTAAAGAAACACTTTTTAAAAGAGAGGGGGAGTGAAACAGGGAAATTACTTTATACCAGGGAGGCTGCTGCAGGATGGTGTCTTTCAGTAATGTGTTTGGCTGACTGTTCCTTGCATGTTATAAAATGTGATGCTGATGAGAGTTTTAAACAGCTTGAAATATGTCAGTACATGTATCCAAAATAGCAGCAAAGCATAAAATGAATTATGGCTCAAGACTCCCACTGAAAAAAGAACTAAGACTGAATAACACTTCCAAACTACTGCTGAGAAGCATTAGCTATGCCGTTTCTCAGGTGGGCAGCATCCAGACACTCTTTATGTGGCCAGTGTCCAAGGTCTCCCAGGCTCTCATTCTCCCTCTGAGAAACATTCCTTCATTCCTCAGCCTGTCTCTAAGGACGCTCCAGAGGCTCTAGAAGGTAAAACACTTGGCTGCCCATTCCTCCCTGGTCTAAAGTCCATCCATTGAATTGTAGCTTTGATAAAGTAATCACGCTTCCCATAATTATGCTCCACATATTGTGGACTGGACCTTGATAAAGCTGTAGCCCAAAGGTCCCTTCTGTTTTTAACTGCATTTTTCAGAGAAACCCAGCCCCTCCTTCATCATTTGTGCCTGACATCCCACACTGCACTGGGAAAAAAGGGAAGAGTTAGAACTGGGAAGTGCCATGCTGATTACTGGGCCAGACTGGAACTATGACAGCCTCTCTGATTGCACACAGCCCACTCAGTCTGTGGCCAGCTGAGTGCCAAATGAGAACATAGGCTATCACTCTACTGGGCCACTGGGCTGATTCTGACCTCGTCCCCTCCCTGCCCCCACTAAATCCCACTTGGGTGAAGTCAATACGCACCCTTCCCTGCGGATTCCTGCCAGCCTTGGTATCCAGGCCCAAAAGGCGAAGGAAATGGTGGAGGAGGAGGAACAACAGGAGGGGCTGGGGAACCTGGCGGTGTACTCTCCTGGCTGAAGACGGACGGGAGAGGCAACTGCTTCTCCTTGATAGAACTGGAAGCTGAGTCTGGCTTGGGCTTGGGCGGTGTTCTCTTCTCTGGTGGCATGGGGGATGGCTGCAAGACAGAAAAACTATTTGACCCAGTCATTCTCTGCGTTACTGTGCCCTGTCCTGACACTGCTGTTATAAATCATCCCTAGGACAGCAGTCCAACCCCGGAAGCAAGATCTATGTGAACAGGGATACCAGGACCTTTAAGTCAACACACTATCTACAGACAGATGAAGATCAACCAAACCCAGGTGCAGAGAACCAAGTATTTGAGATTGAAGCCTCCAGTTGGGATGGGGAAAAAGACATTAATATGCCCAATGTGGGGAAAAAGAGTTGCTTACTTCCAGATCTGCCTTAAACATATAGGACTTGCTGCTCCAGAGCCTTTTCTTGAGGAACTCAAGTGAATTCACAGACTGGAACCCAGTCTAGGATGGACAGCACCATGGTACGAGCTCACAACTATCTAGTAACCCAACGAGAAATCACCCGGCTGCTACTGCACTACGAGGTGGCTCCCAGCCTGTTGGAGATCAGATACAGGCCCTCTCTGCTGAGCTCTTAAGGTGACCAGAGAGCAAAGAACTCACTGATTTGGAAGATGAGAGGTTCATCATTCCCAGCTTGGCCAGAGCCTCATTTTTGGGGTCATTCTTCTTCACAAATGGCTTGGATACTCTCCTGCAAGGAAATGCGGAACACTGTTACGGGGGCTGCAGAGGGGCTGTGGCCACTATAGAGCTGTGTGGAAGTGCTGGGGTATAGTCCCACTCATGTCCTTCCTGCCCACCTGGGTGGTCCCACTCTCTCACCTGACAGGCTCAATAGGCTGGGGCTCAGGGGCTGGCCTGCTCTGGTACATTTTGATGATGTTGCGGATCTCCCGGCTGGGTGCAGGCCGTGACTCAGGGCCTGACGGCTTCACTACAGGTTGCTCCTTCTTCGTTTTTGTTGTCTGCTTTTCTGGCTTTGGCTCAGGAGGTGGCAAAGGGGGAGCAGCAGCTATTGGGGATGACAGCTTTAACCAACAGACCAGCAAAGACAGGAGAAATCTCTTTATTTTGTTTGAAGCTCCTTCTCTTTCACCCCTAGGCTGACTGGCCATGCCCTTCCACTGCCTTGCTTTGGGATCCCACTTCCCAAAGCTCAGGCCTTTCTCTCCCCTCTCCTGTCAAGATGCAGACTCCCAGAAGAGCCAGATCCTTTCCTCTGTCTATATCCTGGCCTGATGCTCCTGCAAAGTTCCTGCTTGTCAGCCTGCCTGGGTCTCCACTGCACAGCATCTTACCTGCCTCTGGTTTAGGGCTAGGCTTCTCTTCTTTCCTCTTCTCCTGCTCCTTTTCCTTCTTCTCCTCCTCCTGCTTTGTCTGGGTTTTTTCTGGAGGGGTCCAGGGTTTGGAAGGAGGCCTGACTTTCTTCACTCGGATCTGTTGCTCTGCTGCATAGAAAAGGGGACCTGAGCTAGTTAAACCCACATCCAAAACCTAGAGCTAATGGCATAGCTCCTACCCTTGCATCAGTCAGCAGAAGCTTATGCTTTCTAGAGGTAAAGAAGGGTGTGGCAGTCACAAGCCCAATGATTTCTAGAAAACTGGCAACACAACACTTCACAATCTGAATTGTAGCCAGCTGAGCAGGCACCCAAAACTCCTGCTACACACAGCACCAGCAGCTCCTGCAGTGATTAGTGATGTTCCAGATAGGGAGACAAGAACACCGTGTTATGCCAGGGAGGCTGCAGAACAAGCTGTTAAGATGAGTGAAATTCCCAAAGTGGTAGACGCTCACCCATCTTCTGAAAATATTCTCTCTTCTGCTGGAAGGTTTCCCGAGAACAGTCATCATCTTCACTGTTGGAGAACTGGTCTTCTGTGTAGTCATAAACCTGCAAGCAGTTCACAACATGGCTAGTTAGCACTAGCCAGCAGATACCTCCATAGTGCCCTTAAGTTCAGAGGTGATCTTCCCTCGCCAAGTTCTGATCTAGAACGTCTCTCCATCTAGGAGTGTCCCAAGAGATCAGTCTCTGGCCCAAGGAATCATTAGCCAAGTCCAGAGAAGGAGGAGTATGTTAGAGGCCCAAGACAGCTTGCTGGAAGATAAAGAACTCAGTGTGATGAATTTTCCTATGGAAAAATTCAGATCAGCTGGGAATTAATTGGCCAACACTGCAGCCAAACCTCCAGAGAGCTAACGCCACCAAGGTTTGATCCTGTGTCTTAAAGACTCAGCAAGCAGAGTTTGAAAGGCCTCAGCATCACAGGTAAGCAGAGCTCTCTGCTCTTCTCTCTGCCAAACCCCTGCCACACTGGTAGGGAAGCAGAGCAAATTCAAGTCATGAAATTCAAATCATGAAATTCACCACTGTTTCTCATACCGGTTCTTCTGCCTTAGGTGGTGGTTCTGGAGCCTTTGGTGGTGGTGCAGCATTGTGGCTGCTGGGAGGTGTCTTGGGTTTTCGGGAAGTGGCTGGGACTGAGGCTGGAGCTGGGGCTTGGGCGTGTGGTGGACTTGAGACTCTTGGCCTTGAGTTCTCAAGAGACTGTTGCCACCGCTGCTGTTGCTGCTGCTGCTGCTGGGAAATGTTCATGGCTTGAAGGGTCATCTGCTGGGCCTGGAGGAAGGAATTACAATGTCCATGAGCTCTAGGCTACACAAAACCACCAGCCATCAGTCAGGCTGTCCCATTCTTTCGCTGGTAATCACAGAACATCCACATAGTCCACTGCAAATTTCCCAGTGTTATAGACAAGGCATGCCCAGGGAGTCTGCTCCCACCCAGCAAAGTATGCAGAGCTCCTAACAACATGCCAAAGACTCAGCTACCAGTGAGATAGCCTGGGACCTCCTTGCACTCACAAGGCTTTGTACAGAAAGCAGAACACTGTAGATCTGCATCTGTAGCAAATGCCAGCTTAAAAACACATAGAAACTACAGCCAAGGCTTTTCAGGGCCTGCTCCTGTTCCTGCTACTCACTCACTTATGGTGCGTCCATGTCCTCGTGTACACAAAGGGGCAAAAAGAGGGTTCCCAGGTTTGCAGTCTTAAATAATCCCAACTTTATATAGCTAACCCCCAAAACATAAGCACAGAGTGTTACAAAGCAGGCCTAAGGCAGGAGGGGAGTGTGGCCAACCTCTTCACAGCACATACATCAGTGCACTGTTCTTTCCCCAGCTCCTGGGCCCCTCCCAGCCAGTCCCTTCCACTTACCATGAGCATGGCTTGCTGGTTGATGAAGACTTGCTGTTGTGCTGCTAACTGACTGGGATCTACAGCTGGAGCCACAGGCTGGGGCATAACCATGGCTGTGGAAGACACACAGGTCTGCAAAAACCCACAGGCAATCGTTCCCCACAGTGCCTAAGCATCAGGCCAAAGCTGAGTGTTCACCCTGCACCCTGCCTTACATTCAAATGCACAGGCTCCATTATGACACCCACTCTTCAATCCTCTTCCCCGCTATAGTTACTGAAACACTGTGCGATTACCTGGCATAGGTGCAATCCCACCAGCTGCTGGCATAACAGGCATGGCTGCTGGCATCCCCATCATTGAAGGCATGGGCTGGTAAACTGGTGCTTGAGTCATTCCAGAGAAGCCTAGAGACAGAAGACCATACGGACAGTGCTTTTGGGGAATCACAGGTCAGAAAGCCCTGATCAGTCCCACAGAGCTCAACACATACGCTGGGTACCTCTGGTTCTCTCCACATGCACCAACCACAGGGACACGTGAATGGTTTATCTCTTCACACACAGCAGTACACAGCAAAACTTGGGTGGAAAAAGGAAATCAAAGAGAAATGTGTGGCCTGCCACACTTCACAATAGCAATATCCAGACCCTGCTTCTGCAGTCTAGCTTAGGACACCACCATCTTTCATGACTAAGCATATAAATAACTGCTGCCTGTGTATGATTACAGAGAAGGGTTTCTTTTGAGAGATGGGTAAAGATCTCTGGGACTGCCACATCCATATTGCTCTCTTTGTTCATTCACCCTTGGTCCCTGCTGCAATGAGCCCTGGCCTGGGTGGCATTGTGTATCATGTGAAGGAAAAGTGGGGAGAAAGGAATTCCTCTGCCTTCAGCAGTCAAGTCCCACATGAGGCCACAAAACAGAAATCTCACTGAGGGCAAGGCCAGCAGAGCAAGGGGCATGGAGATCAGTGCCAGCTAGGAGTGAGTCAGCAGACAGCACAGGGCTACTGAATCATGATGCCCTCACCAGTGAGAATGGCCCAGGGATGCCACGGAGAGATCTTCACATTCCTCACTGATCTAAGTAGCCACATATGAGAGACAAACTGGCCTCAAGCCAGTGATCTGTAATAGGGCTTGTCATGCCCCAGAGCCTTTACAATAGCCAAAAATAGTCCCAGTCTCAGTAACAATCTGAACAGGACATTCCCCACCTTTCTGAAACCACTGGGTGTGTTCCTACACATACAGATTTCTCAATGTCATTAATATATTGGTGTTGGACTCCACCCTACTGAAAATACCTGAGTCTTAGCTCCACAGAAATGAGGAAAAGTAAAGAAACCAAACACACAAACCAGAACCTCTGCAGAGTTCAAACTTACTAACCCAAGGAATAGCTAGGGATCATGGGAAAGTCTGTAAGGGAGCAATAAGAAAGATTAAAACCTTCCCTTGAGAAAGGCAGCAATTATTTTGTGAAAACACAAGGTGAATAGGAGACGAATACAGGACTTATGAGTATGGGCCTAGGGAAGACATGGCCTGAGTCAGAAGCAAGCTACCTGTTGCCTTGACCCCAAGACCAACTCGAAAGAGAAATTAAAAGCAGAATAAAGGTGGTACCCTTACCTAGCATCTTCCCCAAAGCACCTGTCTCCCAGTACCTGGGAGTGAGGCGTGCAACTTCTGATGATCTACGTGAAAGACCAATGCTCTCCATGAATCAGCTGAGTCCATGCAATAATTAGCATTTAAGGGACTCCCTGACTTGTGCTCACTGAAGCTTATGTAGCCCCACAGGTGTTCCCAGCTGTCCCCATCCTCTTACAGACCTGTAGATTGAAAGATTCCCCTCTGTGTGGGTCCAATCTTCCCACCTCCTTTCATTCGTCCAGTCAGCATCTCCCTGTTCTCCATATCCTGCATCAGAAAAACCCCAGTTATCTGAGCTCAGAGAGACTTTAGAGAGTCATCCAAAGGCATATCTGAGCTGAGCAGAGGCAGAATGAATAGGCAGAGGCATGATTGAGGGAGTCACAGGGACAGGAGAGCTGCAGAGAGAAAGTAAGAGGGAACATCAAGGGACTTACTGATACTCTGGAGCCTTGATGCAGCACAGTGCTGAAGAGATCATCCACATAGTGATCCAAGCCTACAGGGGTCCTTAGGTCATCTCTGAATCTTGGATCTAAGAGCAGAGAAAAGTCTGGTGACAAGGCAGGTAAGGAACATTCCCCTGCCTCCAGTCCCTGTTAGACAGTCATGTTTTGGAGTGGAGCCCTTCCTCGCTCTACATCAAGAAAAATAACCTATTTCCCACTCTGCTCTGATTCCCTGGCTGGGGCCCATCTGGCCCTTCCCAGTGCTGTCCACAGTCCTGGGCAAGAGCTTACCTGGATGGAAATTGTTGAATTCTAGAGGAAGGCTAGGTGGTGGGAAGGTAGGGGCCTGGATGACTGGAGCAGGAGGGATCCTGTTGGAGAGGAAAACGAGATGAGGACAGTACAGAGTGCCGAGAGAAAGATGAGCCGCTGGTGACATGGCCATAAGTGGTGGGGCAGGAGGATTAGATGACTTACGAATCCAGATCAGGGTTCTGAAGGAAGCTTCTGTCCCTTTCAGGAGTGATGGGGTAATCAGCTGAGGACTGAGAGGGGCTGCTGAGGTTGCTGGCCTCCTCCATCTCTCCAATGAGATCCAGCACAAAGTCACAGCCCAGCAGGTCCTGCCATGTGTTGCCAGTAAACATGGAGATAGACCACCCTCGAGACTTCTTGTCACAGCCCCTGGTAACAGGGAAAGGAAGGGAAGAAAAGGTATCCAGGTAGACAGGGGAAAGGGAGAGAAAGGAAAACATCACATTCAGTTTCTTCTTGCCTTGTCTATCCTGGCTTCAGTCCTTAAGATTTATGGTGTGAATCAACTTTTAAGTGCCCAGGGTCAGGAAAAAAAAAAAAAAATCCCTCAATATTTGTCCATTTTTTTCTTTTCATCTTTTCTCTGAAGCTGCTCTGACAGATCACACCAGTGATTCCTCTGTTCCTAAAGAGGCGCGCAGTTTACGCACACAGGTGGAGGGGTGGAGGAAAGAGCACAAGCTGGAGTGGGTGAAGAGTGGCTATTCCACATCTGACTATATAAATTCTTGCCTGCAGCCCTGACCAGCCTGAACCTTAGAACTAGTGACAGCCTCTTTCACACCCCCAGATCTTCTCCCATCCTCTGGCAGTACCTTGCAGTTAGGAGCCAGCCTGCATATTGCTCCCCAGTCATCCAGGACTCCACCTCAGCTGAGAACTTCTCCTCTAGCACAAAAAAGAAAGTCAGTATACACAGCCTCCCCGGCAGGACCCAAAACAACATCTAAGCTCTGCAGGGCACAGGAAGATCCCAGCTGGAAAGTGTTACACACTCCTGAGCAGGGGTCATAAAGGAGGATTGAAAGCACATGGAGGGCTCCACATGAACACATTCACATCCAAAATAACTGTTTGATGGCACAGGTTGCCATTTCCAACCTGACAGCTGAAAAACTTCGCAGTGTCCTGGTCTGCTTGGGCTACCACTCCATTCACCAAGAAGCTAGAGCAGGGATGTTCTGCATTCAATTCAATCAGAGCTTGTGATCACTCAAGAGGCAGAATAACCCAGTATTTGACAAGGGAGAAAAACAGAAAGTCCCTGTAACAAAGGCAGCAGTTGCTGCTGCATGGGCTATGCAGTAAAGGGTAACAGGAAAACTAGACCCATAGAGATGCACAACCAGAACAGCCCTCTGTTGAGATGGGCCCAAACCTCAAAGAATCATATCCCTCAGCCTGAGTAGCAGGTCTCATCAGGCCCAGACTTTGGGAGTTTTGGGTCTAGATTCAGATGCCTGTATCCCCCAGGGTTGTACCAGCCAGAAGCAATTGGTGTTCTGATCCCTCTTTTCTAAGGAGAGGGAAGTATTTTCTGAATGCTGAATTCTGTGCTGGAAAAGTCCTTAGGGACTAGAAGATAGTGGAAAGACAGAAGCACGAGTTACCATTAAAGGTATGAACATCCAGCACCATCTTCCCTCTCCTCCGGTTTGCAGTCCACTCCAGCTGAGTGGGAGGGTAGGCCCGAGACAATGTAGAGTCTATCTCTGTGTACTGTGCTGCTGTCAAGATCTTGCGCTGGCAAACAGCATTGTACCCCTCCATGCCACGATCTGACACAAATCTAGGAAAAGGCAACTGCATTTAGCACACTGCTCGTCTCTCTTAACTTTAATGAAAGTGTAGCTACGTCTTTTCTCCTCCTTACTTCAGCAACGGCTTCTCCAGTGCTGGTGAAGGGGCAAAGCAGCTCAGCAAAGTCGCCATCAGGACCCAGGCTCTCTGGCTGTGCTCCATGTCTGGGTTTTTCCATGTCTGGGCAACCACTTGACTGAAGATTTCGTTGCGCAGAGCTACATTATTCAAACCTCTTCTAGCAATATAGTTGCCCAGAAGTACCTCCTGCCAGCCATGGAGATTCTTGTCACCAATGAACCGCAAGATCTAGAAGCATCCAGGGGAAAAAAAGAGAGAGCTCTAGCTGTAACCCTGTGTCCCAAACTGTGCTGTAAGGTGGCAACCTGGGTTGTAGACACCAGGGTGTTTGTGATCCGAAGAAGAGTAGCCAACACTCAGATCGGGACCTGTTCTCGAGGTTTTGTGCACCACTGAAGTCCTGAGGAATTTAGGAGGCAGTGTTCAGAGACTGGACTCTGACTAAAAGTCAGGATGACTTTAGCCTCTTCTCAGTTATGCCTCTGACTCAGAATTTGTTCTTGGGCAAAATACTTCCTCTTCTTTGGGCAGAGCTCAGATACACAAGCAAGTTACCACAGACTATTTGTTACTGTGTCTGAGCCCACAGGCTGCCTAGCTGTAAAGATACATAAAAGAAATTGATGCTTAGCTGACCTTTGTGAAAAGCTCAGAGAGCCAGACATGAGGAAACACTGTCTAACAACTGAATGTTAAAAAGACTTTAGTATAGTTAATATTATACCAAGTAGTACAAGATGTGGTATCTCAACAAACTCACTTAAGCAATGATTCAGCTTCTTGGCTATGAATATCAACATCTTAGATGCTTTCGTAATTTGTATTTCTCACCTTTAGGTACAGAATAATTTATTTCGGCCTCTACACTTCAATATGTCATTAGATTAAAATTTTTCTAAAATGTGCCATTGACAGCTTTGGAAAGCTGTCATTTATGAATGATGGCCTATTTTTTTTTCCCAGATAACACCACTTCTCAAAATGGTTAATGGTATTAAGCATGTCTGAGATTTACTGAGAAAAAACAGGAGATGGTGGTAGTTTAGCTCTCATGGAATTCTTTGTAGTAAATCCCTATGTATTACAACCTTTGCCAAAGAAATGGCTTTTTTTTTTTTTTTATTAGTGATGGAGAAAAATTATCTTTGATCTTCAGGAAAAATAATAGTAGTCTGCTTAAACACAATCCTATTCACAAGATTGTATTGAAACTTATGCTTTTCTATAATTGGGAATTGAGATCTTTAGGACAAAACAAGAGACTGGTTTTAGGTATTAACTTTCCTAACAGGCTTATTTTAATTACATGTAATTCTCAAAACCATTACCAGGTTTACTTGGAAATGATCTGAAGTTTCATTCTATTTTCAGAGAGTCAACATTACTGTTTTTAAGAAGAAATGTATGTTTCACATCCACACAGATGAAATAACACTATCCCCCTCACACAAATACTACAGAATTAGGGTGTGGTTTCAGGTGTAGTTTTCTTGATGACAAAGTCCCTGCCTTTTTCCAGCCTTTATACAACAGTTCACTGTCCCCTGTTGTGTACTGATGCAACTGTATGCCTGAGGTACAATCAATATATTTACTATAAACCACGTCATGGAAAAGATCTGGGTTAAATTAAAGCTTTTTATGACTGACAGATAAGATAGATAAGAATAAGCTTGAGAAGACGGATCTCCCTTATACTGTCATTGCTACTGAATCTGGAATACTGGGAAACTAAGGCTTAGCCATCTAATTCCTCTATGTCCTGCCAAATTCTAAGGTTACATCATCAGGTAATTCACTTTGGTCCCATTGGTCTACGGCTGGTCTGTCTCACCAAGAACACAGCAGCCCTAAGGAGCTGCATGTGATCTCTGCCAGGCTGCTTCAGTGCGTAGAAGGAGCAATTCAGTTTGCTCTTCTAACATACCGCGTATTGTGAGAACAGTAGCCACCACCAGCATCTTGTTGTATAAAGGCACCAAAACATTGTCTTATGCCCACATGTTCTTCAACAAGGCCCTGGTCAAGAAAAGCGTCTGTTACCAGTTTGTTGATCTCAAGTGCGCTATCCTGGTATTCGGTGTCCAGATGGGTTAAGGAGTGCTGCAGAGGCTGACCAGGGGCAGGGAAATCTGTCTTCTACAAAGAAACAAAAGGACAGAAATAGAGAGTTTGTTCCTGGTGTTGCTAGAGCAAGTATCTCCCCAGTGGCAAGGCAATGAAGAGATATAAAAAGAGTTCCCACCTGGAAGTGTGACTTAATGAAGGAGGAGAAAGGATAGCTGTTGATGGTGGGTGGGAGGGAAAGGTCATCTTTGACCTTGACTTCTGGAGGTAATGTCTCAGTTATCTGGTTGGCCTGTGCTCGGTATTGACCTGCAAGAGAAAGAGGTCTTGTGTTGTAGCAGTTGGAAAGGCAGCCAGAACACATCCAGCTCACAGTGCAACACATGGCTAATGTGCATCTAACCTTGCTCGAGCACTTGTACCAGCCCTCCGGCTCCAGGGACACCCAGTCTACCCCTGCTGTCTCAGACCTAACCAAGCAGGCACATCCTCACTTCCTTGAGACCACAAGGCCTAACTTCAGGAGAGAGCTTTTACAGCTCTGATCTTTCAGACTTTTTTCCCTGTGTAACACCCAGAGGGCAGTCAGCACCTGGAGTTTCAGTTCTGTTATGCAGAGTTTACAAGGCAAGAAACACTGAGCCTATGCAGAGATACTGCTGACAGGCGACAGTAAATGTTGTGTTGTTCAGTCTGTTGTGTCAACAAGTACAGGAGAGGTCTTCATGATGAGGCACTGGATGAGGGATTTATCATGGACAATAGGGGAGCAAACATCTTCCTAAATGAAGAGATTTCTCAATGCAGCACAGCTTCTGTGCATTCCTCTATCTCCAGACTGGGTCCTCTGATGCTCTCCTCCTTGTCCCTGTTTACATCCCATCAACTTTCATTTTCAGTGGCTTCACTGTGGTTTGTCCCCTGAGCTCCTCTACGTAACATTGCTCACTAGACCAGCTGATGTCCCTAGAGGGGTGTGCCATGAAGTATGAGGTATTTGGGAATCCAGCACAGTCTGCTACCATTCACAAGACACTTCTGCCTGATTATATCTTTTACTGTACTATACAGAAGGCCAAAGATACAGCTGTCATTTTGTTAGATGCCATACCAACATAAAGAGGCAAATCCTGCCTCAACCTATTTGCAACTTAAATACATACATTGTACAAAGAGTTACAGAGGAAAGAAAACTGCAAATAACTTAATGCTCAAGGTCAGGTCAACAACTTGGGAAATTACTTCAGTTGGTGGCATTTTGGATTTGAACAAAAAACTTTCCATGCCAAGCAAAACATTTCCTTTAATTGTTACATCCTTAAGTTGTTACACTGTTTCTACCTGCTTCTATTTTAAAAGACGCAATTACTTTTGAAGAAGTAATTTTTAATGAAAATCCAAAAATATTTCTTTGAAAGTGCCAAAACTGTAGTTTTGACTTCTTCACCTTCAATTTCCTTAAAAATTTTTGAGTCGAAAAAATATGGGTTTAAGTTCTCACACCCCAGATGTCCAGCTCTGCAAGAGACCTGGGTCCATTTAAAGAGTTTGCTGTCATATAGCTTTGACCAAAAAATTTTGCACCATCACTGTCATCAGTTCTACCAGCACAGTTCAAAAGATGAGCTGAAAAGGTAATAAAAATACTGAATTTTAATCTGGTGTTCTGTGCACTGACCCGAGTTGCTTTTCCATCCTATTATGTTGGGAAACACTATACACAACATCATTTGCCTTTTTCATATTTACACTGCAATGATAACAAATCATATACAACCCAGGTGACAGACAGCAGGTAGAGTCCACCCATACTTAAATTGCTAGAAAACAAGGAAATAAACAGTGAAGTAAAACAGCACAGGAAAGGGAGGGAAGGAGGGAGGATTTCTCACCTTCAGCTAGCTGCAGGAGGGCAGCAAGCTCTGCTGGGATCTCCAGCAGTCCCACATCCTGCGGAGAGAGTGAGCAAGTCAGTCACTGGGGGACCAGCAGTGAAACAACGTATAAACCCTGAGCTGTTCTGTTAAGACTAGGTAAAGTGGTCTTTGAAAAGCTGGCCAGAACAAGGATTGAGCATCTGAGCAAACCCAGTCATTTCTGCCTATGCAACATTCAGAAACATTACAAATAGGGAAGTATTGTATTAACACAGGTATATGACGTGGGTCAGCACAGGACAGAAAGGTGAGTAATTTCTAAAAAAATCAACTGCTCAAGAGGAAGTGACAGGAAAGTTGACTTTCTTTGACTCATCTCTCATTACTAACGAGTTTGGCATATTGCAGTTGAAAGGTAAGGGCCATTTCCTCCTGCTCCTTTTTCTGCCATTTTTATTGCTCAGTATCCAAGAGTGCTACAGCATAAATAGACCGACCTGATTCTGATCTTTGATGCACGCCACTATTTTGGAGGTTCCTAAGGAAGCTCAGATCTGGACCTGGGTAATTCAGATAAGAATCTGCCCAATGAGCCTTGATTTTTCACTGTTTTGCACCTTGCATTTGTGCAAGGTAGGAAGCTAACGGGCCAATGCAACGGTGTATCAGCATCAATGTCTGCATATAATGTCAGTTCAGGGCATTTCAGACAAGACTACTCAGATTAAGACACTATGAAACCAAGCCAAAGACACAAAGCCTGAGCTTTTCGAGTTTTTTTGTTTGGGGGCGGGGGGGGTGTTTGTTGTTGTTCTTGGGTTTTTTGGTCTTTTGGTTTGTTTGGTTGGTTGAGGTTTTTTTTAAGATCTGCATAGTAAAGCCTCTACTCACCAGCATACCATTCTGACATCTCTCTCCACATAAAACTCTCAGCAATGCTTAAAGATAGATTCACAACTTATTTGGTCGGTTTGATTTTACTTATAAGAAGGTACCTGACTTTAAGTCTAGCTTTTCAGTAATGTATTCAGGAAGTGGACTGTGAAATTCTACAGTCCTGGATCCACACCTGAGGAAGCAGGTGATATTGCAAGAGCACCCAGTGCTAAGTATTCCTGTTGTTGTTACACACAAATCTGTGTAAAATTGTGGATGATGTCAATTCAGATTTCCTTGCTACACACATCATAGCAAAATGTATGCCCGGTCTGAACATACAAGTAATTACATTAGTTAGCAGTGTTACTTATAGTTGTTGATACAGATTAAACTTGTTATGAAACCTTTAATACATCCCTTCCTCTACAACATCTTCCATAAATATATCTGTGCAGAACTGTCTCATTCCCACCCTTCACAACAGACCATGACTATCAAAAATAGTCTTCCTCCCAGCTACAAAGAACAGGTCCAGTGCTGTGAACAAATTCAGTACTCTGCCTCAGGAACACCTTATGATGCCTGACTATGCCCAGAGATTGAGAAACACTGAACTAATGGGATAGTTATCTATTAGAAGGCTCTTTATACCAGGCTAAACTGCATTCTTGCTGCTAGGTTTCCAGCCCATCCATGTGGGCTCTGTACACTCTCCACATGTTTTGCTGTTCCCCAGCACACCTGGGCTGAGGAGGCATAGGGGAGGGAGAACACCCTGAGAGCTGTGCTTCTTTTATCTCAGGCTCTCCCAGACCGTTTGACAACTTACCATTCCTTGGTTGGGACTGTTCTCTGAGTCGCCACCGGCCAGGGACCTCCTTCTTCGTTTCCTTTCCTCTAGCTCCTGCTGTTAGGAGATGAAAGTGGGATGGGGGGTGGGAAAAGATGTGTATGAGGTCACTTCCAGCTACTTCTAGGGGCACACTCTGCGAATGGGCAGGAGACGGTGTCCCACTCCAGCAGATAAAATGACAGAACAGCTGCAGAGCCTTCTTGGGACTCACCACAGTGTATTGAGAAGGGGATGCCCAGGCAAAGCCCTTCACTTTGCTGAAACACCACCTGCCCTGTGCAAAACAATTCAAGAGCAAGAGCTTTCACCACCTGCCCAGCATCCCTGCTACACCCTTCTCCCCTCACCTGGCATTTGATGTGTCTCAGGACAAAAGCACACAGAAGCTGTCAGAAACAATCACCTGCCTCCTCCAGCATCAAAGAAAGTGGTAATGCACCCTGAACATGGACAGACAGAAGAACTTGTCCATGGAGAGGGACCCCTTTAGTGGGGGTGGGAGGGATACCAAAAGCCAAACAAACTCCCTTGCAGCTCTGCCCTTTCCCATCCGTTCTAGTGCCGCCCAGCCTCATCACTCACCTGACTCCTACTCCAAGATGGAAAAGAAGGGTCTCTGTCTCTCTCTCTCCTGCTTGTCTATGTTGTAGAACGGTGTGACTAGATGGGAGGTTACGAGGGTTGGGCTGAGAAAGACAGTAGGCATGCTAAAGTCCAAAGGGCAGGGCTGTGGGGAGGGGGGAAAGGAGGAACTTTGCAGAAGGTGAACTTTGAGACCTTTATTGTTGCTACTGCAAGTACAGAGACCTCAGCAAGCAAATACTGGAAGAACAGAAACAGATTCGAAAGAGCTGTGCTGTCCTGGTTACCTGGGAGAAACAAAAGCTGGATCCTGTCCAAGTAGGAAGAGGTGGGAAAAGGAACAGAAACACATACTGCTTTGGGCATGGCATGGCATGGCAGAAAGAACCTCTGCAGTCTTTCAACACCACCACTGACCTTAACCCTCTGCCCCATCCTTTGCTAGTCATGCCAGCAGCCGTACTGGGTCCCTCCCTTGTGAAGCTGACAGCCATGGGGATGGTTAGTTGCTACTCTAAGGATGAGTGATCTGATTTCCTGTTTTCAATTTTCTTTTTAATAGTTCGTGCAAAATATATTCAACCCATTTGACAGAACTGTGGCTCTCTCCTGCACACAATTTTCCATCTTCTCAAACCACTGCCATCCTGTTCACACCTCAACTATGGGCCCAGCTGACTTTCAAAAGATCTTCAGCAGCCTGAGATAGCTATAAGGGGTCAGGGAAGGATCACTGTGGACTGGTAGAATCTTGCATTTCAGTCACCATTTGGGAAAGTACCAGCAATTGAACTGGACAATTAAAAGAGCAAGATGAATGACTCCCTATAGCTTGAGCAGAACAGCAGCTCTGGAGGCCACAGATGGAATGAGCTCATGTGTTGTGTGGGGCACCCTAGAGAAGCTCACTTACACAGACATATGAATCGGTTGCATTTGTACTATCTCTGCCAATTCTGAACTTCATCTAGGGAGAGAAAGCTCCAGTCTTGGTGGTTCCTTTGTTTGACTAGATTTAAGTCACCCAGAGAGTGAAGGACACCTCACTGGATCATTTCCAAGAAACTTTCTAAAGCCATCCCTGCCCTGGCCTCATGCAGTCACCAGCTCGCTCTACTTAGAGCGGAAATAGCTCCTGCAGTAGACCTGGTTCTGAGAAGAGTGTTGTTACCTGGCAGCACTTCCTCCTTTGAATCAAAGTTCTGGAGATTAAAATCACTGTATTAAATTGCACCAAAGTCTTCTTCAGCCTCCTGTAACGCTTCCTAGAGGGATGTGAAAAGACAAGAATTGCTAAGGAGGGAAACATCAACAAAATTTAGGCAGACTGTGGACTCAGTTCAAGGGTATGGGCCAAACCAAACATTAATACAGTCAGCCAGCCTGGATTTGATCTTACTGTGTTAAGCCTGGTCCTCT